CCTTCATGGTCGGCCGGACCATAAGGTTTCCATCAAAACTTCATTCTGCAGCAGTCCTTGCCATACTGATGGCGTGTGCTGGTGCATCGGCTGCGCTCAGGTATCTGCTACAATACCCTGGTAGCAACGTGCGGAGGCACTCCCAATTTAGGGTGCAAGGGGCGCTCATCAAAAATGACCGCAGGCCCAGTATGAGGTTGAAGTTCATAGCTCGTTTCGTCTTTGCCGTTGCGATTGGACCACTAGCTCAGTACCCTATCAGTAGCAGAGACTGGGTCAAACACAGCGCTGATCTTCTCTGTTGTCCTCCTTGCTACAGAGTTCATTTGAGGATCGTAAAGCATAATCATTCATTGCAGTCACTGACCTATTTTTATTCCTAGTTGATTAACCCGTTAAGGGCTTGCGCTTCCGAAACCACGCTGTTAAGGCACTTGAAGCATACTTCAACATACTAACGTATTTCGCAATGAAACGGTCTTAGACGGAAGGAATTTGAAATTGAATAGAAATGCGACAGTAATTATGAGACAACCCAATATATCTCTTCTGACGGGCGAAGTTCCTACTCATTGGAAACAATCGGTGGTTACAGCTATTCCTAAGAAGCCTTCCGCTTCTACGCCTGATGAGTTTAGGCCTATCAGTATTACACCGACACCGTGTAAAGTTATGGAGAGAATTTTGAAATCATGCCTGCTAGACTGGCTCGTCAAACATGACCTCGTCCCTCATGAGCAGTTTGGTTTCATTAAAAACTCGTCTACATGCTTGCAACTTCTTGAATGTACCCACATGTGGGTGGATGCTCTCAATTCATCGAAAAATGTCAGTGTCATGTATTTTGATCTGAAGTAAGGCGTTTGACACGGTGAACCACGTAAGGCTCTTGAAAAAAATGCATAGTCTCGGCATTAGAGGAGCCTTATTTAACTGGCTCAAGTCCTATCTTTCTGATCGTAGCTTTGTCGTGCATGTCCATGGTACCTTCTCGCTGAGGAAAAGCTGTCCGTGTTCTATCCCCGCTTCTATTTTTGATGTACACGATCTTCCATCGGCGCTTGCATTCGACCCTGATATCAAGGTGTATGCCTTTGCTGATGACGTCAAAGCCTTTACTAGCTTTGACAGTGGCCAGTTCGCTAATATGCCAACTTTGATGAATGACGTTCTGTCCCGTATGTCCTCATGGACTCATGAATGGGGTCTTAAGCTCAACTTTGCAAAAACTTGTGTGCTTACTCTGGGTAAAAGACTGCCTCATTTTGCTATTGAGGGATTACCTCCATCTAGTATAGTCAGTCAGGCTCGTGATCTGGGGATAACTGTATCGAGGTCGATGAATTGGGAAAGTCATATTGAGGGTATAGTTTCTAAAGCTCTTCGGTGCCTCCACAGTTTGTTTAGGATAGTCAGGACGTCAGACTTGACCATCCTAATCAGGCTGTATAAAGCTTATGTTCTTCCCATTCTTGAGTATTCCAGTCAGGTATGGAGCCCTCACTCAAGAAAACTTATTGTGAAGATTGAAAAAGTGCAAATGACCTTCACAAGGCTTGTTTATTATCGTGTGTTTCCAGATCCAGGTTACCCTAGGTCCATGCCACATTACAGAATACGTCTCAGAGAACTTGCTTTGAGAAGTCTCTTATACAGACGTACTTTTGCGGATTTAGTTTTGGCATTTAGAATACTTAGAGGTGAGTCTCGTCTTACTTCTTCTAAGTTCTGGCGATTCAAACCTTCATCTCTTAGAAGACCATGTTTAACATATATGTTTCCAGATCTATGTACCGAGGTCGGTTCTCTAATAACATTTGCAGACATTCGTTCTTCCACAGAACTTCAGTCTGGTTGAATAAGTTGCCATTGGATCTTTTACGTATGGAGAGGGTATCACTCTTCAAAAGAGGACTGTTGAAATTAGATCTTATGAATCTTGCTTGGTATCTCCGACTTCTAGTGTTCTAACTTTTGCTTTATATGATTCCTTGTTTATTTAACACGGGTTTTCATAGTTCTGTACAAGTTTGTTTTGTTGCATTAGTTTTCCTTACTATTGTGACGCTGATCTGTTCTTTGCTAACACATTCGGTCGATTGCGCACGTCGGTAACATTGAAATACGAGTCAGTTAGAGAGAGTTTTCAGTTTTTTCCTGTTATGTTGTCCACTCAATGTAGCTAATGCTTCCTCGCTATGGACTTGCATGCTTCACTATACTGCTGTTTGCGTTTACAACCTTGATGAAGCGGGTCTTCTGCAGTCTCTTGATTCGACCCCGGGTTGCTACTACGTCAATGATAGGATCGGAGTACATCTTTAATTATTCGCTCAGTTAATTGCTCTGGAGCACCACTGAGCCAGCGTGCTGGGTCCGTGTTTAGGTCAATGAGATGCACTGGCATCCGCCCTCATGCTGCGGCCTTGGGCTTGGTTATCTTCATGGTTCTTAACTAGGCTGTCTTAATCGATCTCACTCATCTCGCAACCCTCATTAGCTTACTTCACTTCAGGTTTAAGCATGCACTGTTCATGGAGGATTTTTTCCAAAGCAACCAGGTTTCGTTATTACAGTTAACCTCTTTCTATCTGGCTTTGTTTTCGTAGCTTGATGGACTAATAACTATTATTATCTGTTTCCATCTGAGGACTATGTTCTTGGACACCGGCCGTGCAAGTAAATAAATAAATAAAACCGATGTAAACTCTGTATAGGGGTTGTTTTGTGCCCTGATAACGAAGATATTCGTTTTGTCACTAACGTTGTTTAAGGGCGGAAGTAGTGACAAGTGGCGCGCTTACCACGCGAGCGGTCCGGGGATCAAATCCTGGGTCGTGAGTCGCCCGGGCCAACCAAGCCTTCCATCCCTCCGGGGTCGGTTAATTGGTACCAGACTTGTCTGGGAGGATAAAAAACACTGACTTGTACATCGGCTGGCCCCCGCAAGTCATTGTATAGGCCACATCGCATTCAAACGCCACTACGAATGTACAAATGGAAGTAGAATGCGTGCCGCATCCCAAAAAGGGATTGATCAACGGCAAATGCTTTATCCTTTTATCCTTTACGTTGTTAACGCATATTTCTCGCTGGAGAGCGCAGACGAGCAGAAAATAGGCGCCAAATAGCGCCAGCGCCGAGAATGAATGTCATATTCGTAATCAGGACACCAAATAACCCCTATACGGAAGTTTACACCAAATTTGGTGAAAACAGTGTCGTGACAAGGTGACGCCAACTGGCGCCAGATGGCGCCACCGCTAAAAATGAAAGTCATTTTCGTAATCAGGGCATCGACTTACCTCTATAGGCAAATTTACGGTAGTTTCTAAGGTGTACAAAACACACTGCACGAGCGGAGGTATTTTTAGGTGAGATCGCCGCAAATTCATCCACAGGAAATTAGGGTATTTGGCATGTGAACTATTTTGACATTTCATTTCAATAAACGCAACGATCGTTTTGTTCCCATGCATTCAATAGAGCCTTTTGCTGCGAAATACAGGGGATGCTATACAAGGAGACACGACAGACTACGTTTAAAACTGCACTACTCCACCATTACTGCCCCAAAATCTCAAAATTTTATTTTTCGTCGAAACTTTGCCTATAGGGGTAATTCGATGCCCTGATTACGAATATGACATTCATTTTTGATGCTGGCGCCATTTGGCGCCATTGGCGCCACGTTGTTTTCACGAAATTCGGTGTAAATTTGTACATAGTAGTGTTTATTTGTGTCCTGATCACGAACATGACATTTATCTTTGAGGCTTGCGCCCTCGCACTGAGTTAATCACTATCAGGACTAAGCCCTTGGGGAAAGAGGGCTCAGAGGTGAGTGAGCCACTCACCCTGATATCACACACTTCAACTTTTGTCACATGCTGCGTGGTTTACCCACCTCGGAGTCCTCCTTCTCCAATAACCTTAGTCTTAAGCACAATGTGTGAGTGAGAGAGCCCAGGAGAGCAGAAAATATGCGTTAGACAGCGCCAATTCCAAAACGAATGTCATATTCGTAATCAGGACACCAAATAACCCCTATGTACAAGTTTACACCGAATTTGGTGAAAACAGCCGTCGTGACAAGTGGCGCCAAATGGCGCCAGCATCAAAAATGAATGTCATATTCGTAATCAGGGCATCGAATTACCCCATAGGCAAAGTTTCGACGAAAAATAAAATTTTGAGATTTTGGGGTATTAATAATGGAATGCATTGAAGCAAAAATCCCGGCAGGGTCCTTAGCTTGGTCACTAATGGTGTGGAACAGTGCACTAGCCCTAGTGGACATAAGAAGTGTGTCTGCGCAAAAAACTCACCTTGAAAAGCAGCTGGAAAGGGGCTCCCAGACAATACCTAACCATTTGGGCGCGGCCGAACGCGGCCGAGTTGATAGGTGCCCGCGAACTCAGCACAGCACAGTTCGCGGGCACCTCGAGTGCGTTTTCAACGGTTCGCGGGCACATCGACGTTCGCCGCGGCCGCGCCCAAATGATTAGGTATTGTCTGGGAGCCCTGAAATGTACCTGAAGGCTTTCAAAGTAAGCGTTTCCGACAACGTAAAGCCAGCCGCGGAGATGGCGTGTTTGGATGCGGGTTCTTGCGCGATTGCGTGCAAACTGTGCCGTGTTTAGAGATTAATGCTGCCTCCTTTCGATCGGTTTCACTTGCTCAACCCATTTTTTTATTCATTTATTATTGATTTATTATTGTATTTCTTTCAATTGTACTGATGCACATATATGTCTCTGTTTTTATTGGTGCACATGCGATTGCTACACAAGCCAGCAATAAATGCCGGCGGAGCAGGCTAGAAGAACACGTCCTTCTTTCATCTTAGAAGGGAAACGGGGAAGTTTCTCTCCGAAGGTTTTCGACGGTTTTCTTTGATTTTCTCCATCAGCAGTCACATCTACAACTTCATTATCAACCGTTTTTACCCCTCGAATTCGATCTGGAATTGTTGCTTTAACCATACTTTGCGAAATTGAAATCGAGTGTTTTCAAACCGAAAATTGAAGTAATCATTGCGTCCTATCAACAAGCGTCATATTAGCCTCCTAGAAGTGTTTTCCAAGGTAACATGGTGCGCCCTGAACTCACCGTGATCCCCGATCGTGGGCCATCACGACATTATCTGATAAGCTGGTCAAAAACGCTCTTGCATAATCAGAACTTCCATCTCTGGAAAGTCACCAATCGGACAAGCGCTAGAAGAAATTGTGTAGCCGCTTTATATGTTACGGTAGGCCTTCATAAGCTCGTGAGGTGACAAAGTATTCACATGATGGTGAGGGCAGTGTATAGGGGTTTACAAGGAAAAGTCTTTCAGGGTGTGCCAAGCTTTTTCAAAACGGTCTTTTGCATGATATAGAGGCACATGCGGGAACCACAGAACCATGGTTAATTTTTCCTGAACGGCCCTCTGAATACCAGAAAAGGGGGTCCCTAGTCACACCTTTTTCACCAGTTTTTCAATCAAAGTCTATTTGTAAGGGTTACTGACGTTTAATCATGAATTTGGTACTAATTATTCATGCTAACTCCATTTTGCGCGAATTTTGAAACGTCAACTCGAAATGCAAAAATTTGTCACCACGAGGAATCGAACTAGGGACCCCTTTTCTGGTATTCAGAGGGCCGTTCAGGAAAAATGAACCATGCTTCTGTGGTCCCCATATGTGCCCCAATGTCATGCAAGAAACCATTTTGAAAAAGCTTGGCACACCCTGAACGACCTCCCTTGTTGGGTCTGCGTCTTGGGGAATATTTCAGGAGTATTTTACCGAGGAACTTCCATCTTTCAGGACAAAAAACGCCTCCTTTTCCGCTCACCACTGGAAATTGCAGTGATTCAAGAATTAATAGAGATGAAGAAAGTGATAGGTTTTACCACTAGCAAAAGGGCAGGGCAATCTATCTAATGTCTTTGTCAGTGATGTTTTGGGTTCCATGGATTCCCTACACCCAGAGGCATGCTCACACCGGGCGCAGGCGAGAGGCATGCCTTAGAGCCGTGTGGTACACTGCTAAAGAACATCGTCGAGGAAAGCGTTGCGGCTGCAGGGTGAATATCGCTTGAGGATTCCTCAACGGCACGTCGAGGATTCTCTGCCCGATCAGACACGATCTCTCGCGCGGACATTCACACTCGCCATGCGCGTGCCGTCTGTGCTCTCCGCGCGGATGTTCACTCTCGGCACTACTCTCGCATGGTAGAGAGCTATGGTCGAGGAAATTCCTCGACCGTTATTCACCCTGTGCGAAATCCTCGATCGTTATTCACCCTGTGCGGCTGTCTCCTCTCCATTCTACTCTCGTACGCGTCCGCCGCGCCTACGCGTCCAGGTATGGAGAAGTCACAGAGCGCCGAATCACAATTTTAAGTGATGTCACC